AAATTTTATATTCTCATTTTGGATTTTGAAATCTCACTACCGCCAATACCAGAGTTTGAAAATAAAAGTTGAAATTTTATATTCTCATTTTGGATTTTGAAATCTCACTACCGCCAATACCACAGTTTGAAAATAAAAGTTAAAATTTGTTATTCTCATTTTGGATTTTTAAATCTCACTTTTTATTTTTTTCATGAATATCACTACCTTAGAACTTGACAATATATACTTTTATTTTATAAAACTGGGGCATTTTATACCTACAGATTGATATGTGCCTCGAGGTAGCCCCAAATAAAATAATCCATCGGAGTAAGGTCGGGGCTGCTAGGAGGCCATGGTGACGAGGTCGTGGCAATGCTCTTAGAGCCAGGCCATGGACATATTTGGACTCATCGCATGGAGCATAGGCATGATATCAGACCCAGGGGCGACCTCCAGCTTTGCAGGTGATCCAAGACAACCATGACCTCGAGGTAGGAGTTGGTGTTGACCCTTTACCCGACCTGTAAGATGTGTGGGGGCATGACATCACCCTCATTGGAGACCACACCGAGCACCATAACCATCTTAGAAAATTTGGTTTTCATCACTTTAAGAACATCCTTAGGGCAGGCAGCGATCCACCTGCTTTTCTGCTTATTCTACATTTGATCCGTGCAGAAACTTTTGTCGTCTGAAAAGAACCAGATCATGTTCTTCTCCTCGGGGTGCTTGAGCTAGTTCTAGAGCTTTGTGGAGTTTAGGAGCCTTCGACACATCTTCACTCAGCCTCCTTAAACACAATATCCAGTAGATCTGCGTAAACTTTCGCCATGATGCAAGAAATACACTGATTGAATCCGCATGATAAATATGTTCTTGCGGGATTTCTAAAAATCGGAATAAATGCATCATTAAGTTTCAGCGCGACCCGGAGCATGGGCACCAATTTGAAGTTCAAGCCCTGTCTTTGAAAATCTGTTTTGATGATTTAAATGTTTACAATATTTGTAAAGGATTTATGGTAATCAACATGCAAATTGCAAAGAGATTACTAAATGACTGTATGATGTAAGCCTGCCTTATTGTTCGATATACTATCACTTAGAATATATACATAATTCCATACTTTTTATAGGATACACCGGCCTTGGAAGAATTCTACAAGAGCCAGGGAGCCTTTAAAGAAGGTTTTATAAGATTCCAACCTGGGGGCTGTGTATTGCCGCGCTGTTTCACTAGAATTCATGATTCCATACAAAATTTTGCTGTTAGAGAAGACGACATTTGGATTTCGTCTTTTCCTAAGTGTGGAACAACTTGGACCCAGGTAATCATGAAATTATCATGGATTTAAAAAAGATTTTAGTTTTCTAGCTACTAGGGAACTCGTAAATCATGAGACGAAAATCGCGACCTGAAAAACTTTTAAGGATCGGATCTTATATGAAGGTTGATATTGGTTGATGCATTGAATAAAAATGATAATAAAAATAATCATTATAATGATAATAATAGAGTTTACAGATAGAAAGTAGGAGAACTGGAGTTTACAAATAGAAAGTAGGAGAACTAGAGTTTACAGATAGAAAGTAGGATAACTAGAGTTTACAAATAGAAAGTCGGAGAAACTTAAATTTGTAAAAGGGACCAGGGGGGGATTTTTTTTAATGAAATAAACTATTTTTTATTGTCAAGGTGGTGGTCTTAAAGTGTAAGTGCGTAGGAGAGAAATCGACGATTTTGCAGCTAAATTTGCTTATAAATTGAAGAATTAATAAACAATGTAATTTTTTAAAATTTTCTCCTTTAGAACAGTACTCGGGATTTCCAAAATGATATAAAACATCATTCTAAATTAAAAACTGAGGATTTAGAATGATGTTTATAAAAAAATTTTAGAAAAAAATTTGATTAAAAAAATTTTATCAAATTTTTTTGGGGGGAATTTTTCTTAGCTTCATATATATCTATTCAAAAGAAAAAGAGCACCTCTGAACAATTTTACAGGGCCACTCTAGCTGGCTTGGCTCTTGAACTTGTTGGCCGGGGTACCCTGATTTGGTTCTACTCAATTGCCGGTGGAAGACTGAGTTTTTATTCAGCAGAATTGTTTATGATGCAATCAAACTCTATCAACAATACCTTTCCAACAAGCTATTAATCACGGGAATTCTCCAATAAATAAAGAAATTACACTATCAATCGCATTCTTGAATAAATACACCTCGTACAGGAGGTGGTTTGGAATATTTTTCAATGATTAAAATATCTAGGAGATGGTTTGGAATATTTTTCAATAATTAAAATATCTAGGAGATGGTTTGGAATATTTTTCAATAATTAAAATATCTAGGAGATGGTTTGGAATATTTTTCAATGATTAAAATATCTAGGAGATGGTTTGGAATATTTTTCAATGATTAAAATATCCAGGAGATGGTTTCTGGTTATCAATGATTATAATTATCCAGGAGATGGTTTGGAATATATATCAATGATTATATATCCAAGAGATGGGTTCTGGTTATCAATGATTATAAATATCCAGGAGATGGTTTGGAATATCGTGAATAATCTTGATTATGAAACTGCAAAGAAAGTATCCCTGGAGGATCGAGTTCCCTTCCTTGAACTCACAGGGCTTCTAGAGGTAAGTGAGATAAAGGGAAAGACTAGAAAAGAGTGAGTGAGAAACAAGTGAGGAAGTTTCACAATGAAACACTTTTCTCCTCAGAAAAACGACGGCTTTTATCACATTATTTATTATATAAAGGTTTTTAATTAAATGGTACTGTTGTGAAGCAAGCATGATTCTCTCCAAGGGTAGCTGTTGATCTTAAAATAATTTTTTTTTTCAGGAAAGATTTTTTGATGTTGCAGAGGCAGAATCTAAAATTTCAGGTTAAATTGTTGTTTTATCCTTGTATAGTTTTTCTTTAAATCATAATTGGTATCATTATTATCATAACTGTTATTATCATTATTGGCATTATAATATAATTCTTAACAATTTTAATAGAATAATTTCAAGTATCTAAAATATTTAATAGCCTCAACACAATAAAACGGGTTGGAACTTTGTTACATTTGACACTAATGACGGTATCCCTTATGTCTTTAAAATTTCATTGCATGGTGAACTAAGGTCAATTTGAATTCGAACCTGACCGACTCCTTGTACCGGCCCCAGAGACGCGCGGCAAGTACTGCCTATCCTATGCCGGCTCGGTTTCAACTTTGATGCGCAGCCAGACTTTTCACAGTATCCGGCCAATCATAGGCCTTTTTGAACTATCCCACTAGCTTAGATTAATCTGATTGTATTTGATATTCTATTTGAACATCATTATTTATTTTATTATTTGATTGTTTAGGAACTGGTTTAGTTAACTCTGTTCAGCAGTCAGCCGCTATTTCTAGTCCAAGGTTTATCAGACTTATTATTTAGGGACCTGCAGTCCCGTTTAAACACTACCACTGTCGAATTTTAATCAAAATAATTTTTCAATACAACAGTAGATATCGAACATTTCTGATTTACTTTAAATGGACTCATTTTTCTATTGGAAAAGAAGTGGTAAAGCACTTTTCAACTGCATTATCCCTGCTTGGATTTCAAGTGACCAAAGAATTGCAACCCCTGACTCACAAAGTACAACGTAACCCGAAATCTTTATCTGATCAATAATGTTCATAATTCAGATATGTTTAATTCATAATCCATATGTGAGTCACTTTTGTATAGAGAAAAAAAAACTATTGAATAATATCAGTTGTCCAAATTATCAACAATAATATCTTTATAATTGATCAGACAAAAGAAGAAGTATATAGACCAGGAATCACCATATCTGATGCGTCAAACCTGTGTACTGCAGTGGGAGGAGATAAAAACAAAGAATTCAGGGGAAACGCATCATTTGCGTTGGGGGGAGGGGAAAATAAGCATATATATGGCTATGTAAAGGGTGTTAAACAAATCACTTTATACCTTTTCCTCTCACAAGCTTAATAATTATCCGACCATAATTTATATCACAGTGTTTCTAGCATTTTAGGACTACACGATTTAAAAATTATTTTGTCAACCCTGCTCTGAATAAATGCTTTTTATCTCTTGGGAAAGGATTTGAGCAGCCTTCCCAGATTTCCTATTCTCGCCACACTGCTTTAGATGATAGAGATTTTCTCATTTTTTCCTTGCAACCTTCTTTTTTCAATTTTTTCATTCACAAAAAGTATCATAACAACCCGAGGATACCTTTTCTAGTAATGCAGTATTATTCTTAATTGTCTTTACAATAGCTAGTTTCTTGTCCCCTATCTGGAGTCTCTCGATTTATTTTTTTGTACAATTAAACCCTAAATGAGCCATACATCGAAAGAATTTATCAAATGTCGTCTTGACAATTTTTCACTGGGTTTTATATTATTTTACGCAAATCTCAGTATTTGTGAAAATAAATAAATAGCCATAAATATTCGGGAACAGTTTAAAAGAGCTCCATATAATCATTTAATTAAAAAACTAAATATCTGCAACATTCCATTATCAGAAAGTGAAGAATACGGCAGTTGATGAATTCTTTCGATGTACGGCTTATTTAGGGTTTAAATGTATATGTTCACTTCCTCTAATGCATGACCAATAGATCTTCTGAGGGATAAAAAAGATCCTTTAGATATATCAGGAACAGTTAAAAGGACTTTTTTGAGCCTAATTTATTACAGTCCATAAAACATTTAAAGTGATAGGGGGATGCGTATTAATCCTAGAATCCGTACAAGATCCAGATCGGGGGTTCTAGCTCAAGGGTTACTTAGAGATGAGTTTTCCCAACTTAAAACTGAGATTTTTAAATGGGGTCAAGTTGCTATCATTTCAGCGCGAACGGTAGATGTTATACTGAAGTAACATGTAATTTTTGATAAATCTCTTTATAAACATAGGAGGAAAGATTTAAATATTGGGAAGAAGGATTTTGACTTCGAGAGGAAGAATTTAAACGGTGTAAGGAAGGATTTAGACTTTGGGATGCAAGATTTAAACGGTGGGAGGTAGGATTTAAACGATGGGAGAAAGGGTTTAAATATTGGGGAGAAGGATTTAAACATTGGGAGCAAGGATTCTAATGGTTGGAGGAAGTGTTTAAATATTGGGAGGAAGGATACAAATTTTGGGAGGAGGATACAAATGTTGGGAGGAAGGATTCAAATCCTAAAATGAAGGGCTCAAACATTGTGAGGAAGGATTTAAACATTGTGAGGAAGGATTCAAACATTGTGAGGAAGGATTCAAACATTGTGAGGAAGGATTCAAACATCAGGAGGAAAGATTTCAAATTTTAAAAGGAAAAGTTTAACCTCGGAAACAAAAAAATGGGAATCTTTTTTCCTTGCTTCTCCTTTAAAGCTACACTAGTTTCACATATCTCACTTATCTAAATTTTCCATATTAACCTGGAAGCCACAAATCATATATAAATGATCAATTTGTATTTGTACTAACTTGATATATTAACTAGTGTTTGGTTGGACTGTGATATCAAATGTTTATCATAGCTTTAATCCTTTCCCTTCAACTGCTGGGTTCAGGGATTGTTTACATTCCTCCCACAGTGTACAGTACACAATATGCAGATATCTGAGTTGGGCGTTCCTGTGTATAGTTCCTTGAGACAAAGCTTTCAAGGGTACCGTTGTGAATCAAGCATTGTCATACTTCCAAGGAAGGTCACTTGAAATTACTCTCACAGTCCCTTTAAATGATATGTTTACACGGTATGTGACTGTTTTGATAGCTACTGCTTTATATGAAACTAATATACATGTAGATACTTTTTAAATTATAACAGAAATACAATTTTTATAAAAATTCTAACGACATTTCTAATTGAAAGAAAGAATGAGGATGAAACTGTTTAACCAAGTCAGATAAAATATTTTAGTAGAATCCTGAAAACCCATCTTCCCGTGGAGCTTCTACCCCCTCATGTAAGTTTTTACAAATATTTTACAAGCTTTTTATCCTTCATTTTTTCAATTTTTAAAAAAAAGATTCACAACGGAACCTTTATCAGATCAATTAATGAATTATATATTCATATTTTACTTTTGGAACATCAATTATTTTCATTTTTGGTTTCTATGCAAAAGCCAATTGCGCAATTTTTGCCTCATTAAACAATGGCGAAATTAACAGATTAAAATACTTTTTAAGGTAGAAAATCTTCATCATCGTTGATCAGATTAAGGTTTCAAGGGCGCGGTTGTGAATCGGGCATTTCCTTATTTTTAAATTGAGGGTCCCTTAAAATTAGCACGACAGTACCTTTAAATCGATTATTCTCAAAACTTTAAAGTTCCAATTCAGTTTTGCTTTTTTTATTTATAAAAATTTTCAAGAATTCCAAAATATTATCAGAAAAATGTCAGAAAGATTTTACTCGATAGTATTTATTTTAACACTTGATTCTGCATCTTTTAGAACAATTTTAACAAACAAAAATATCGTTGTTCGACCCTGTAGGTGTTGACGAAAGCGAAGTTGATCTATGTGACGAGGAACCCGAAGGACGCCGTGGTGTCTCTCTTCAACCACTGGAGGATTATGGATAAATATGAGGCAGGTTTCAACCCAGCATTTCTTTCACTTTACTTATTATCAAAGTTCAACAGTTCTAGTTCAAACAGAGGGAATTATAATGTTTTACTCGTTATTTAATTCCTTTTTTCTCATCAAAGGTTAAAAAGTTAATTGGTTAAAACACTAAATAAAAAGATTATCATTGTTTTCTGTGTAAGACTGGGCAACTTTTTAAAAATTCCTTTAACGAATCCAGTTATTTTCAGTTCGTCAGCCGTTAATGAATAGAAGGAACGGAAGATAAAAAAACCGAACTGATACAAATAAAAATAACGGAAAATTTTTTGGAGTCTCCTAATAGACAAATAAAAAACTTTTTCGTCGAAAGGAAAATAAATAAGAAGCTTTCTAAAATTAATACAAATTTTGTTTAGGGAACATTCGATGTTTTTTTCGATGCTTTTGTAGCTGATGTAGCTGGATACTACTGTCCTTTTAATAGTAACGTTCTTGGATATTGGAATATTAGGTATACTTTCCCTTTAACACTAATGTTCTAGAAAAAAATAAATTTTCCCCTTTAACAATATTCTTCAGGAAAATTAAATATTAGTATATTCTTCCTATATAATAATGTTCCAGAAAATTTAATATTAGGTAAACTTCCCCTTTAACAATAACAATCTGGAAAAATTAATACTTAGAATTATTCCCTTTAAACATCTGTTTCTACGAACCACGTAATTAAAAATGTTTAATTTGAGGGACCAAGACAATGTACTGTTTATAACCTATGAAGAGATGAAGAAGGATCTACAGGCTGTTATCAGGTTTCATAATATAATTATATTTTCAAAAAAGGTTTATTCGGTTTTAAATAAGGGACTCATAAAACTCTGGAATAGGAAGACGACCATTAGACTCATTTATAATCTTTAATGGTTCAATGCACATAAAATACAGCAATTGTGCAGTGTACAATAAATAAGTTGATTTTCAAACTATTTGCTTTAAACAATATCAATACAGATAGTTTATTGCTTAAATCTTATTCCAAAGTTTTATGGGTACCATTGTAAAATTATTTATATATCAAATACTATGGAAAATAAATTTCAAAGGAATTGAGTTTTTGCCACAAACTCAAAATTTCTAAGTAAATCTTTGATATTTCAAACTAAGATTACTTTACATAACATAATTCATAGTTTGAAATATCTATGGTCTTTTTCAGTGGATTGCAAAGATATTGGGCTTAGAAAATTTGGATTTGTTAAAAGAACTAAGTTCCTTTATTATTATTTATATTTTACGTATTATTTGAAAAACAAATTCAAATCTAAGGCAACTGTAAAACTATTTTAATAAATTTTCAATCTATATAAAAAAGACATTGTTATCGTGGCTTTTTTTCCAGGAAGGTTTGTAAGTTCTTAGAGAAGGAGTATACTGATGTTCAGGTAGATTATAATTAAAGGGAGAGTTATACTGATTCTCAGGTAGATTATAATTTAAGAGAGAGTTATACTGATGTTCAGGTATATTATAATTAAAGGGAGAGTTATACTGATGTTCAGGTATATTATAATTAAAGAGAGAGTTATACTGATTCTCAGGTGGATTATAATTAAAGTGAGAGTTATACTGATGTTCAGGTATATTATAGTTAAAGGGAGAGTTATACTGATTCTCAGGTAGATTATAATTAAAGAGAGAGTTATACTGATTCTCAGGTAGATTATAATTAAAGATGAGAGTTATACTGATGTTCAGGTATATTATAGTTAAAGGGAGAGTTATACTGATTCTCAGGTAGATTATAATTAAAGAGAGAGTTATACTGATTCTCAGGTAGATTATAATTAAAGATAGAGTTATACTGATGTTCAGGTAGATTATAATTAAAGAGAGAGTTATACTGATTCTCAGGTAGATTATAATTAAAGAGATTGTAGTCATAATTACGAGTGACTCTTCATCCATTAAGTGAGCTGTCAACTCATCTTGATTTTCTAGATAAGTGAGCTGACAACTCATCTTGATTTTCTAGATAAGTGAGCTGACAACTCACCTTGATTTTCTAGATAAGTGAGCTGACAACTCATCTTGATTTTCTAGATAAGTGAGCTGGCAACTCATCTTGATTTTCTAGATAAGTGAGCTGACAACTCATCTTGATTTTCTAGTTAAGTGAGCTGACAACCCCTCTTGATTTTCTAGATAAGTGAGCTGACAACTCATCTTGATTTTCTAAATAAGTGAGCTGGCAACTCACCTTGATTTTCTAGTTTAGCGAGCTGACAACCCCTCTTGATTTTCTAGATAAGTGAGCTGTCAACTCATCTTTATTTTCTAGATAAGTGAGCTGGCAACTCATCTCGATTTTCTAGTTAAGCGAGCTGGGAACTCATCTTGATTTTCTAGATAAGTGAGCTGACAGCTCATCTTGATTTTCTAGATAAGTGAGCTGGCAACGCATCTTGATTTTAAATCCATGAAAAACAACCCTGCAGTGAATAAGGTAATTATACTTATTTCTAAAATTGAAAAATATAATAGAATCACCTTTTTTGAATAATTAGATTCAATGATTAGATATCTATGTCGAATTGAAAAAATATCTTAATTATCAGACACTATTATCCCATAGAAACCATATCTTAATTATCAGATACTAATATCCCATAGAAACCATATCTTAATTATCAGACGCTATTATCCCATTGAAACTATATCTTAATTATCAGACGCACTCTTCAAACAATTGTTTGTGAATAAAAACTGTGTAAAGCATGAATTGTATTTTATCTATTTTGGTTTTCTTCTATTTTAAACATGGGTTTCATGGGTTTAAAGAATGTTACTGCACCGTGAAACCACAAACATGAAAATACAATGGGATAAATAATGATAGAAAAAAATTTGGTAATTTTGAAATTTTTATTATTCTTAACATTGTCTTATAATCTAATCTAACTTTCAGCAATTTTCATTTAGGATACAAGTTAGTCGTAATAAATAAATAAACCTTTTAACTAAAAGGACTGTTTGATTTTTTAACTCTCATCATAGTCCTATTCTTGTCGATGATGAGCCATTTTTACCGCAATAAAATTGGTTTATCCTGATTATTTGAAAGTTTTCAGCTAAATGTAATGGAACGCGGTATTATATACTTAAATAAAACTATTAAAGATTTTGATATTTTGGTTTGATATAATTTGATTTTTACACCAACAAAAAATCACAGAAGTTAATTTGTGAAATGTCAAGCGTCATGCAATAAGATATCTTATTTTAGTAGCTTAAATAAAAGATTAAGAATTAAATGGTAATTATTTTTTTTCGGTTTAAACTTTTCAGGCAATTGTCTTTTGAACTTATTTATTTCAGGAGAATGTTTTTTTCTTGAAATGTACGAATCAAAGTGGAATTCTTTGAGAATATTTCAGCCACTAGATGTCTGTACAGTGTACATACAGGGTTACCCAAAAAGGATGAGACTTGAAACTGGCGACCTGAAACTCTTTTAACATAAAAACCTAAACGTTTGATTAATTCATTTGCCGTCAGTAAAGTCTTTTAACCGTATCTTAACTGATTAAAAACATGTTTCCAGCTGCAGGGACTCTTAGATGGAAAAAAACATCTGAATAAAATATGTACAGTCGTCTCTGAAGTCTTATCCTTTGTGGGCAACCCTATACATAAATAATTGAATTACAGGAGGATGTCCTGAAAGCATTTGAAGACATGACACGAGGGTCGTCTTCCACTGCAGCTAAGGATGGAAAGTTTATGAGGAAAGGAGAAACAGGAGACTGGAAGAATAAACTGAGCGAAGAGCAGAATAGAAGAATAGAAGAGTGGGTGGAGAAACATACTCAGGGAACAGATCTTAGATATACGTACACAATCTAGTACTATATTCAGATACTAGATATACGTACTCACTCTAGTACTATATCCAGATCCTAGATATATGTACTCACTCTAGTACTGTATTCAGATCCTAGATATACCTACTCACTCTATTACTATATACAGATCCTAGATATATGTACTCACTCTAGTACTGTATTCAGATCCTAGATATAAGTACTCACTCTAGTACTATATTCATATCCTAGATATATGTACTTACTCTAGTACTATATTCAGATCCTAAATATAGTACTCACTCTATTACTTTATTCAGATCCTAGATATATGTACTCACTCTAGTACTATATTCAGATAATAGATATACGTATTCACTCTAGTACCATATCCAGATCCTAGATATATGTACTCACTCTAGTACTGAATTCAGATCCTAGATATATGTACTCACTTTAGTACTATATTCAGATCTTAGATATACCTACTCACTCTAGTACTATATTCAGATCCTAGATATATGTACTCACTCTAGTACTATATTCAGATATTAGATATACCTACTCACTCTAGTACTGTATTCAGATCCTAGATATATGTACTCACTTTAGTACTATATTCAGATCCTAGATATATGTACACAATCTAGTACTATATTCAGATCCTAGATATACGTACTCACTCTAATACTATATCCAGATCCTAAATATATGTACTCACTCTAGTACTATATTCAGATCCTTAATATACCTACTCACTCTAGTACTATATTCATATCCTAGATATACGTACTCACTCTAGTACTGTATTAAGATTCTAGATATATCTACTCACTCTAGTACTGTATTCAGATTCTAAATATATGTACTCACTCTAGTACTATTTTCAGATCCTAGATATACGTACTCACTCTAGTACTATATTCATATTCTAGATATACGTACTCACTTTAGTACTATATTCAGATCCAAGATATATGTACTCACTCTAGTAGTGTATTCAGATTCTAGAAATAAGAAAATAATATACTTTTAAAAAAATTAAGGAAAAAATTTGAAAACTAAGAAAAAAGATTTTAAACATTTATTCTAAAACTGAGCAATGTCCAAACTAAAGGATTAATAAACTCGTCCAAAATGGATTTTAAATTTTTTTTATTTTTGCCCGGCACCGAATAAATATACGTGAGATTTGATTAATCCATTTTAAACTTTTTTATTTTACAGTTTTTATTTAGTAAAATATAATCACAGAGTATTTAGATATGTTTTTACTGATCTTATAAGAATGTTTTAAAAAATAAACTATACTAATACAATGAGTAATGAAAAAAATACATTTTAAGTAAATAAAAAGAAATAAATTTTACAAATTTAGAATTAAACTTGAATTACTTTTTGGTTGACAAAAAAGTTTAAAATTTCATAAATGCCGTTACGTTTGACTAGACGAAAAACTGGGATATTTTGGTAAATTTGAAACATATGGTCTAGCTTCGTCTTAATTATAATGGTAAATCTATAATAATGGAATGAACACTTGTTTTAAACTCTAATTTTCTAATTCCAGTATCTTTGCAACCTAATGGTGTAAACCTTTAATATTTCATAATTAACAATTAGATCTATCAGAATGCATAGTTTGAGATATCAAAAATCTACGACATCAGGGTCCAAAAATATATTAGAAGATCTAATTTTGAGACAAGTAATCATTTCATTGAAAAACATTTTCGCGAGAATACAGATTAGCACTGGCAGTTTTGATGCATCACTTATTATATAATATATACAAGAAAATACGATAGAAATGCCACTTAAAATATTCTGAGAGGGGGGGGGGATGTTTCTAAGTAAATATTAGGTAATTATAACATGAATTAAACATGAAACGCAACAAGAATTTCTGTGGTCGTTCATGCAAAACTTTGAAAGGATTTAAACAAAAGAAAGAATATTATTTTTTTTGTTGATAATTTCAAGAAGAAATATTTTTCATTTGTGATATTCCACACGGGATCATTAACTGTAGTTGCTGTTGTCCCTCTACTCCCTGTAGTCCCTCTAATCTTTCTAGTCCTTCTACTCCCTGTAGTCCCTCTAATCTTTCTATTCCATCTAGTGTAGTTCCTTTACTCTAGTCCCTGTAGTCCAGTGCCTCTTGTCTAGTCCCTGTAGTCCAGTCCCTCTAGTATAGCCCCTGTAGTCTCGTCCTATAAAGTCCCTCTATTCCCTGTAGCTCCATGTAGTCACTGGAATCTATGTAGTCCCTGTAGTTCCTGTAGACCCCTAGTCTATTCCCTCTAGTCCCTGTACTTCTTAAGTACTTCTAGCTCCTATATTCCCTGTAGTCCCTTTACTCCTCCATATTCTCTTTTGTCCCTCTAGTCCCTTTAGTCCCTGTATTCACTCTAGTCCTTGACTAGTTTCTCTAGTCCCTCTAGTCCCTCTAGTCCCTTTAGTCCCTGTATTCACTCTAGTCCTTGTCTAGTTTCTCTGTCCCTCAAGTCCCTCAAGTCCTTATAGTCCCTCTACTCCCTCTATGCCTTGGAGTCCCTCTAGTCCCTAAGAGATGTCCGTAAACTTTTCAAGGTACTAGCTGAGTTTTCTCTAGAACTGGTACTCATAGGAGACCTACAAATAAAACAAGAAATTAATTTTTATCTTAATTGTTTATTTAAAAGAAAGAAGAGCAACAAAGATTACTTATTTCTCTTGTTAAAAGTTTGTATGCAAAGAATACACATAGGGAAAGATTACTCATTAATTTTTAGCGCTGTGTCAAGATTAGTCATAAGAGTCCTACAAGATTACTTATACTTTAGAGAGTTATAAGATTGCTCATAGAAATCCAATATCGAAGAAAAGATTACTCATCGTGTATAGGAACGTTTATTCAAAATACTCTTAAGTAGAGAAAAGTCGCAATAATAAATTAGAAGTTTGGGGCAATTGTTCAGTTCTTTTTGATGAAAAAACCCATGAAATTCTGAAAAATTAATCTTTATTTGTTTCTGGATCCAAGACTCAGGTAGATGATATTTAAAAATTGTCAAAAACAACAGAGGGAGAGAGGCGTAAATAATAATTTTGCAACAAAACTGCAACTCCTCCCCTCTCCCCTGTTGGAATTTCTTTTACCCCNACACTGGATGAGCAGAGAGCAGCGAACCAGATAGAAAACGGTCTGATAACCAACAGTTATGTTTATACCTGGAGATATTCTTTACAACCAAAGATATTAGATTTTACAGATTTAAGACTAATCAAATCCTGGCCAGGTCTAGATATCAGGCATGTACGATAAAACAACCCTGACCGGTGTGGTACATGCAGACATGGGCTCAATGCTTACAGTAAACTACTGCAAACAAGTAATCATGTACAAATAAACCCAAACAAGATTAAAGACGACTTATTCTGCTAAATCTGTGTTTTCTTGATCAATGATAAAAATTAGAAATGTTGGACAGCAAACAAATAATATTTATGATCAAGAAAAAGGTAGAAATAACAAATAAATCATAATTTATGAAAAAAACATCTCACAAAAAGCTTAAATAATTAAGAATCTAGTTAAGCGCACAAATAATAATGTTGATCAAGAAAAATGTAAAAATAAATCATAAATTATGAAAATTGTAACGACTCACAAAAAAGCATAAAAAGTCGAGAATCTAGTTAAAAAAATAAACAAATTAAAGAAACCAATAAAAATCTAGAAAATTTTGAAATACTTGATGTAAAGAAAGAAACCATCATAGATCATACAAAAAAAGGGGGAGGAAAATACAAATGGCCTATTGTAATGGACACATTGTTACAGTTTTGACAGATTGGTTTTAAATTGGTATAATCTTTTTCAGTAAAATTTCAAACGGGACATTAAACATTTTTTTGGAAGTTTTTTCTTGTGTTAACTAACATCAAAATATCATGACGACGTTTGAAGACAATGGAGTTGGATTCAGAATAAACATATTTTTTCTCTTAAAATTCACAATATTATAAGTGAGATTTTTTATTCTAAAAAGTTAATGAGAAAATAAAGTTTACATGAAATTGCACTTATTTTACTGTAAGATCAGCACTTTATGCTAAAATTATCACTATTATTAAAAATTTTGTCGGACACAAAAACTAAGTTGACACTTGTGACGTAAGAATGCAGCTGTACTGATAGTGTACAAATTTGACATTGCCATCTATTGTATTGGAATCTATTATTGTTTACGATTCTATTCCAGAAACAGTAGTACACGTATTATGTAAACAGAGATAAAGGGATTATTCATGTGTCTTGTGTTTTGTGTTGTTTTTCGTTTTGTTTCGTTTTTTAACACTTTTATCTATATCCTTAAAAGAAATTAAAAACGAACCAAAAAAAGGTTGTTTAACACTCTTGTTTATTGTTTGTTTTTTGTTTCTTTTTTGCAAAAAGAAATTTCTCCGAGGGTCAGAATTGTGCATAGTGTAAGAAAAGGAAATGTCTAGAATAAATCTTTTTTAAACTTTTGCTAACATTTTGTCAAATTTGATCCTGAGAAAACAAAATATGCAAAAAACGAAGAAAAAACATGATTGGTAAAAGTACCTGTAGGTTAGATTATCATGGTAGAGTGTGTGAAGGGGAGGAGGAAGGGGCGTGGTACTACTCCGCCCACTGTGCAGGGATTGTCGGTCAACTTGGCGGTCTGTTTTCCTGCCCCGCCTAGCTGTATAGATACACAGGATACAGGTCACCAGGATACACAGCTGCAGGAATATAACAGCTGCAGCTGTTGCAACAACAACAGGTAGTGTTGTACACAGCACCTCCTCTTCACCCTCCTCACGCTTTATGTACACTAAACAGATTTCAAATTAGATCAAATCAAATCAAATCAAATCAAATGAAGTATAGGAAAATCAAATAAGATTATTTCAAATTAAATTATTTCAAATTAAATTAAATCAAATCAAATTCATTGAACATATTAAATCAAATAATGTCAAATTATCACGAACATCCTACTTTCACAATATACTGTCCAAGTGATTTTACTTAATTCAGTCGTGGGGCAGAGATGAAAAATAAATTTATAAATATTGAATTTAATAAACTATTGTGACGAAATCTGGTAAAACATAAAAATATTTTTGGAACAAAAAATAAATAACTATAATAAGTTCTTCGTTACAGTGAGGCAACAGGGATGCAATATTCAATTCCCATTGCGTCAAGTAAATAAAGATATATGAAATTTTGTTAAAATTTTGTTATATTGCAACCCTGAAACCAGAAATGCAATGTTACATTGCATTTCTGCACCCTTTTATCTTTAATCATGACAGAGTAATAACAGATTTATTTGCCTAGGACTTGATATATTATTAATTGATTTATCCACCCTAAAGATCACCTCCTATTGTAATTGTTGTATAAAAATTATGAATATTTTGATACATTTTATAATAATTATGTAATTATAGTCCGCCCTTCCTTGTTTATTAAAAGCTTCCGTATTCTTCCTGTTCTTACATTTTAAATAAATTTTAAGATCTGGATCTTTGTGATAAAAAGATCATTTTTCTTGTTTATACTTAAAAACAGGTGAAAGGGGCGATTAAAGTTTTATTTTACCTCAACAGGGGGACTTTAAGTTACTTTTCGTGTCCCTTTTAAGTGAACTAAGGACCCGGTCTGCAAAGTTTTCGCACATTTACATCTCAAAATTGTGTACAACTACTTACTTGGTAAATTAAAAAGAGTTCCTTCGTCCAATTTTGCCCTTCGCTCTGAATGTTTTATGGGCGAAATTGGTCTTGAAAACCCTTGGTAAAGTAAAATTCTCTTAACTTTCATACCAAGTAGTTGACACAATTATTATTAAAAAATAGATGAAACTGTAGTTTTACATGTAATCTCCATATTTGATATTTAGTGGCTCTGCTTCGTGACCATTTATAATTATCAGGTAGGTTAATTAAGAACTGAATTTGAAACAAGAATAAACATTGCTGGTTAATAAATCCAAAATAACTCAGTTCATTCAACTCTGTAGAATACTGGTTACTCAATTAAACAGTTACTCAATTCACTTAAATCTGTAGAATACTGTTTCTCAATTTAACAATTACTCAATTCACTTAAATCTGTAGAATACTGTTTCTCAATTTAAAAATTACTCATTTCACTTAAATCAGTAGAATACTGGTTACTCAATTAAACAATTTCTCAATTCACTTAAATCTGTAGAATACTGGTTACTCAAACAAACAATTATTCAATTTACTCAAATCAGTAGAATACTGGTTACTCTATTAAACAATTACTTAATTTTCTCAAATCAGTAGAATACTGGTTACTCAAACAAACAATTACTCAATTTACTCAAATCAGTAGAATACTGGTTACTCTATTAAACAATTACTTAATTTACTCAAATCAGTAGAATACTGTCTACTCAATTAAACAATTTCTCAATTCAATTTACTCAAATCAGTAGAATACTGGTTACTCTATTAAACAATTACTTAATTTACTCAAATCAGTAGAATACTGGCTACTCAATTAAAGAATTTCTCAATTTACTTAAATCTGTAGAATACTGGCTACTCAATTATACAATTACTCAATTTACTCAAATCAGTAGAATACTGGCTACTCAATTAAAGAATTACTCAATTTACTCAAATCAGTAGAATACTGGCTACTCAATTATACAATTACTCAATTTACTCAAATCAGTACTGGTTGCTGTTTAGAAATACTCTGGTTACGCAATCAAACATTCACTCCGATCTGTTTACTAAATCCTCAATCATATATTGACTACAGTCTGATTACTTAATCTACTTTAAAACAGTTAAACTTTTTATACTGAATTGAACTATACTTCACTTGTGCGACGGTTCTAGTAAAAGAGATTAGGTTCAACTTAGTTTAGGTAGATCAACTACTTCTCGCTTTTCATTAAATTTGGTCCCATGGTTTCCTAATCGGACGTTTACTTTTATCAGTTTGTACAAGGGTTAATCTGAATTGAACAATTGTTTTCAAGGGACTGTAAATGAAATTTAACGTGACCCTTCAATGCAAAGATTCTAGTGGATGGAGGGTAACTTGAAATTACGATTACAGTCCCTTTAAAATCAAAATGTTTGTGATTACTCAATCAAAATTTCGATAAATCATCTTTGGTTTTGAAATGAATATTACCCACACACCTCCTTTGTTTATTTATATTTTATATTTTAATTGATGTAAAAATATAATAAATAACAATTCGAGGTTTCGGGTTAATGTCCCGTAAGGTAACAAAGTAATGGCTAACAACACGTCTATAGGGATAAAATTATAATAATATTGTGTAGCATTGTAATATAGATATTATTGTTGTCTTTATTTATATTTTTATTATTATTATTATTATTTATTACAGTGGTCGGCGTTTATATCAATACAATGAAGACGACTTTTCTTTCTAAGTTTTGATTTCTACCAAGATTTTTTTTAATTAAAAGTTAACAAGTAAACAAAGAGAAGTTTCTGGTTACCCACGGATACCCATGTTTTGTATCTGCATGCCTGGTATAAATCTAAATTGATACCGAAAGTTGTCTTCATTGTATTGATACATACGACAACGACTGTATTATTATTATTATTATTATTATTATTATTATCATTCTAACCTCCTCCTGGTGCTTGTTCAGGTTGAAATCTCGGAGTTCTGAATGAATCCACTTTAGCTCCTGAATCCACAATTATCTCCTTTGATAAAGGAGTATCTACGGTGAGTACCTCCTGACCTAGGTTCGGGTCAAACACAAGCCTGCTGGAGTAGGGTTCAGGGACGGCTGTGGTCGGAGCAGGGACGGATTGAGAGGAGTTTGCAGATCTTCTTCTCCTACCATAGGATTGTATTCCATCCTCACAATCAACAGGGTTACATTCATCAACACAGAACTGAACATTCACCTGGAACCTAGACAAATTTTCTTATTAAAGGGACTGTAAACGTAATTTTAATGGACCCTCCATGCAACGGCGATGCCCGATTCACCACCTTTGTCAGATCAATAATGTGGATGATATTCTCGTTTTTCTAGTTTTTTAAGTATTTAATATTGATATTTCGTATATGAACTCCGCAGTAACAATGCGCAAATCACTTTTGTAGAAAGACCACAATTGAAGACAGTCAATTTTCACAATTCTAAACATTGATATCTAATTCAATCTTGATCAAACAAAGATTTTAAGGGTACCATCGTGAATCGGACATTGAAATCTTTGCATGGAGGTTCATCCAGTCTGTAGACTTGTTAGCTTCTTTGCAAAATCAATTATCATGCCAAGACAAAAAATAATGAGAATTCCCCAAAGAGTTGGATGCCGGCATTAAAGTCTCATCGTTTGAGGATAACCCTGTAAATATGATTTTAAACAAATCCCTTTTCTATCAATGGTTTATCATCAAGTGAAATGTAACAAATCATAAAATCTGATTAAAGTATGTAGAGATAAAATATAAACCTTTATTATTAATGGTATAAACTGATTAATCGAAACAATAAAACAAAACCGAATTGATTGATGAGAAAAGGGAACTGATAGAAAAATTAATTGCTGGTTTGATGAAAAGATTTGTTGAAAAATAAAGGAAGATGTAACAATGGATTGATGGGATAATGATTAATGGGGTTTTGTGAAGGTACTTAGATGGGAAAATCGTATTTGAAGGATGAAATAAGATTAAATGGATGATGTCATGAAAAGTAAAATAAAAGAATTGCTATTATGTGGAATGAAGGAGGAATAAAATGAAATGATGAAGAATTGATAAGTCACGGAGACGTAATTTGAAAAGTAATCCTCCATTTATAGAGATGTCCGATACACAAGATACCCTTAAACCCGTTGTCTAAGCAAAATTGTTGGAGTTCTTCTTTCTAGTTCAATTGCGGTTTTTCTAAAAAGTAACGTGCAGGTTTCTTAGTATAAAAATAAATTGTAAGCGAAGGAATTTAACACTTTCCAAGCTAGAAAACGACATCTTGTTCCACATTATTAATCAGGTGTAAAGGGTACCGTTGTGAATGAGGTCAATGGAAGGTCACTATATTTCCTTTAATCAAAGGAAGAATTAATAATTCAAACATGAATTGAAGGATGGATAACTAGCTTGATGGATAGATTGTTGAAGATGAGAGGATGGATAACTAGCTTGAGGGATAGATTGTTGAAGATGAGAGGATGGATAACTAGCTTGATGGATAGATTGTTGAAGATGAGAGGATGGATAACTAGCTTGAGGGATAGATTGTTGAAGATGAGAGGATGGATAACTAGCTTGATGGATAGATTGTTGAAGATGAGAGGATGGATAACTAGCTTGAGGGATAGATTGTTGAAGATGAGAGGATGGATAACTAGCTTGATGGATAGATTGTTGAAGANAGATAGATAGATAGATAGATAGATAGATAGATAGATAGATAGATATATAGATAGATAGATAGATAGAAAGATAGATAGATAGATAGATACCTGACTACACTAGTATCACTGAACTTGAATGCCTCGAAGTTCCCTTGAAGATCCCTAGAGTCAGGTAGCTGCTGCAGTCCAGGGAAAATGACATTATCTGTTGGACATCCTCGTTCATCCAGTAGATCTATGCTATCCTGGTCATCCCCACTGATAGCCTTAATATTTATTTAATTATGCTTTTTTCATCAATTTTGATTTTTCATTATCCAATCCATTCTTGTTTTGGTAATTCAATCTTTCATTCCTACTTTTAATATTTTAATAATCATTAATTATTCCTACTATTATATCTCTTAATTATAACCACACACTCATCCTATCATTTATTCTTTTTTTATTCGTTTAATCAATACTTTCCTTTATATTTTATTTGCATTCACTTTCTTGCCTCAACACTAATTTTCTAAGCCTTACCTCTTTACAACCTGATGTCGGAGACCTTTATTATTGTCAACTTTGAAAAGCTACTAGATCAAAGTGTCAAAGTTTGAAAAAACATAGGCTTACACCATCAAGAAGCAAGTGCGAAATAAAACAATTTTATTACCTTGAGATTTCTGGCGAATATTCCAAAGATGGATTCTCGATCCATCTCTATCCTGAGGAACAGCTTCTCTCCCAACCTAGTCCCGGAGATATCGGATCCGTCCTCAGTTGTGATCCTTAACCTTACTCCGGGTGCAGGTGCGGTAGCGTTCACTACACTGGAGGGGGTGGAGGACTCAAAGTTATCAATTACACTGAAACAATCAAATGATTATATGAGAAAATATGAAAACTCTGGAGAATAATATTTCAAGCCTCATCGTCAATTTTTCAATTTACTTCAATTTAATTGTCTTTTTAAAAGATCTGTGACAAATGATAAGTTTTCCCGATTTTAAATTGATTAATTATATGTTTGCTTACTCGGAGAGAACATTGTAGCTGTTGGTAACAACCTTGGTGCCGGTCTCAAAATAACAGAATAGTTGGATAGCCCTGTAATATATCTTATTATTAACCCTGTAATATATCTTATTATTAACAACCCTGTAATATATCTTATTATTAACAACCCTGTAATATATCTTATTATTAACCCTGTAATATAACTTATTATTAACACCGCAGGTAATATATCTTATTATCAACAACCCTGTAATAACCCTGTAATATATCTTATTATTAACAACCCTGTAATATATCTTATTATTAACAACCCTGTAATATATCTTATTGTTAACAACTCTGTAATATATCACATGAAGACTGTCTCCATGAAACCCTCTTTATCTTCATTTTCTATTATTTAAGATCTTGGCATTATATCATTTCAATTCCTCATTTCCTCAATTTTGTTAAGTTATTTAGTTATTTAGTGAACATAAGAATGAAATAATAGTTTTAACGTGTGTAATGTGTACTTTACATCAACTTTATTGGAGAAAATGTTATATTTTGTTTGTTTTTTCTTCAACTCATCTCGACATCCTATGTGGACACTTTTAGATTTACGGATCAATGCTTGATCCTAAATTAAAATTATTCCTGCAGGGTATATGGAAGGGAAATTAAAATAATCTATAGATCTGCATTAGATAAAGATCAGTGCTTGATCCTAAATTAAAATTATTCCTGCAGGGTGTATGGAAAAGGAATTAAAATAATCTGTAGATCTGCATTTATAGATTAAGATCAGTGCTTGATCCTAAATTAAAGTTATTACAGCAGGGTATATGGAAGAGGAATTAAAATAATCTGTAGATCTGCATTAGATGAAGATCAGTGCTTGATCCTAAATTAAAGTTATTCCAGCAGGGTATATGGTAGGGGAATTAAAATAATCTGTAGATCTGCATTTATAGATGAAGATCAGTGCTTGATCCTAAATTAAAGTTATTCCAGCAGGGTATATGGAAGAGGAATTAAAATAATATGTAGATCTGCATTAGATGAAGATCAGCGCTTGATCCGAGATTCAAAACACAAAAATTCTGACTTCAGCAGTTTTTTTTATTTAGTATAAGTGCAGCACACAGAAAATAGAATAACGATTATCAGGTCATGAACATTTTTCATATTGTTCTTACATTTGGAACCAAACATAGATTTAAATAATAAAAATGTTATTCACTGTTTACCTATCTCCCTTCCTCTGAATGACTGGATGATGTTGAATAACGACGACATTACTGTACACTCCTTTCTCCTCCCTAAGTGTACCGCAGCGAGCAGCTGATTCCTCCTCGAAGTAAAATGTCAGCTCAGTCTCAGTCCTGAACAAGGTTTATTTAATCTAAGAATTCTTGTTGGAAAAATGATTTCAATACGATACTTCTTGTGATTAATCTGATGATCTTAAAGGGAGAGACGTAATTTCAAATCTGTATTAATTTGATAAATGCCTTGTCAGATTCACAACGGTATCATTAAAAGCTTTGACTGACCTTGAATATTTGAGATATACATGTTGTTTTTTAAAAAATAGATTTTTTTCAATTATGGTTTCTCACTAAAAGTTATTTGCAGATTTATTCTCACAGAAACAACGGAGGAAAGGGTCCAAATTAAAACACTTTTTAAGTCAGAAAAACGACGATATTTCTTACATTATTTTTTGTGTACCCTTGTAAATTAGGCATGGCCATTTTTAAATTGAGGATCAAATAACATTACCAGGGCAGTCCCTTAAATACTCTCTGATGCACATACCTGGAGAGTCCTCGTACTTCACAATCCTTGCCCTTTGATTGCGCATACATTCGACCTACAGGAAACAGATTTTATTATTTTTTATTTTATCTCAAATATTTGAAATATTTAATTAATTAGGTTGCGTGTGAGGACTATTACTTTACCTTGAAACGGTTCTTCAGTGTTTAGGGTTACAGTCATACTTTCATCAGTACATATCAAGGATACTAAATAGATGGATAGATATAGATAAAAATATGTGTACATATATTTATAAATATATATATATATATATATGGAATGGATAGAAAAAGGTTGATAGAAAGATAGAATTGTAGGTACTTTATTAACCGAACTATGGTACCTTTGCTTGACATGGCCTGAGATACGTTTTTTTTCAAATTAGTTTGGGTGAAGACAAAAATTTATAAAAACAGTAATTTTGAGCTGTTTATCAGTGGTTTGAGCCATTTGATCTTAAACCCATTAGCTCGGTTACCACTAGGTCAGTTTATAGAGCAATGAATCTAATTTGATTTAGAAAAAAAACTAAAACCCTTTCACCATCGAGATCACCAAAGCGGATTAAGAAAAATTCGATATCTAAATAATGCAGAAGAGAACCCTGAGCAACCTACAACCTAGCACTAACTACCTAAAATCATTCCAAGAAAACGAAATATCTGTATCCGACATCTTGAGAACTAAATTTGTTTATAATATCACTAATGTTTAAGTATATTTTGATAATGTTTATCTTTTTAATCCTGAGTACTTACCCCTCTCTCTTATTCACTGAAGTCAAAAGTTTCAACTGTCTTAACTGGATAGATTTAGAAGAATTTATAGAAGCATGCAAGCTGTGTTCTTTAAGATTTAGGAAAAAAACTATTTTTTTCTTTTACTAATTCTTCATTCTGTATTAAAGACACCAAAATTAAGCAGTTTTATCTCAACATTTATAAAGACAAAAATAATTGAAAGTTTTCAAACCAAATAAAGTATTATTTGAGAAAAGTGCACTGAAACAAAAAGATAGGATTGGAAGGCGGCGTTTAAATCTCTACCTTCCCCCTGCCCCCCTCCCCCAGCCTGCTCTGACCCATTGACACCTACAGCTGGTTCCTGACGTCTCTCTCGGTGCAATCTTCCTGTGCTGTGCGCTAAAAATGTGAAATATATTTACGCGCACACAGCAATCTGTTCGTGTTGTTGTACAGTGTGCGTTATGTACATTGCTGTGGTGCTCTTTGTACAGCATTCGTCTAAAGTCATGTTATTTATTTTTTGATAATTTTTTCGGAAAAAAGTGTGAAACTGTTTGATTGACGCTAAAATATCAAATTGCTGTAATTATTTGTCAACACTAATTTTTCAGATTAAATTTCAAGAATAAGTTCTCAGATTACTTGAAACATTTTTCATTTTTTGTATTTCCCACGCCTATCATACTCCCCGGGAAACCTAATCAAAACTTAATAGTAAAAAATGAAATGATTAAAAAATCTTTTGTTTTTCTTTCTCAAATTATTAATGAACAAACAATTGACAGCTTCAACCAAAGTTTAAAGAATTTAAAAATCAAAAAAATTGTTCTTTGTTCATTCATTATTTTACCATCGCAAAACGTAGAATATTTATTTTATGAATGATATTATTATAAAATAAGTATGACAACAATAAAACAGAAATGAAAATTCGGTTCTAGCTAAAAACATCCCCCCCCCCTTCAGAAAAAGTATATCAGTATAAAGGGTCTGAGTCAAGTGCTGTGTACTGTACACAAGCAAGTTGTAATGCATGGTAAACATTAATTAATTGATTGGTTGATTTACATGTACATGTACTTACAGTCTAGGCAAGGAGCTCGCTGGAAATATTGGGCTCCTGCTCTATCCGTTACAGCCTGTACATTATTGTTATTATTATTATTATTATTATTATTATTATTATTATTATTATTATTATTATTATTATTATTATTATTATTACTATTGTTATTATTATTAAAATTATTATTATGAAATAGGTGTATTTGATGTTCTTACTAACCAAATAGTTTGATTACATTAGATTATTAAATCACAAATAAACTGAAATTGGTCTGTTTACACTTTACAATTTCTGGTTTCAATGATCATTAGACTATTTAAAGTCATAACTGGAGTCTAAAAGTCGTCTTTCTATTTCAGAGTTTTCTGGTTATCACTATATACAGAGCGTCCCATATCATATTGGATTATCTTCTAGGTTTAATGCTGAAATACGCACCTAATACCCGAAAAACCTCGTGTTTTCTGCATTCAAATTTTAATAGTAGGCGTATACAATTTTTTGAAATTAATTTAATCTTTCTAAAATTTCTAATTTCTCTCGAAAAACGCAATTTAGAACCATAAACGATCCGAATTGATGTGGGACACCCTGTATATTGTACCTGAGGTCCAGCAGATATATTATCAGTATATATTGTACCTGAGGTCCAGTAGATATATTATCAGTATGTATTGTACCTGAGGTCCAGCAGATATATTATCAGTATATATTGTACCTGAGGTCCAGCAGATATATTATCATCTGAAGAAAGTCTGCAGACTCCTGTACCAGGGAAGTAAGTATAACTTCTACAGTTAAATGCCGAGGTTTGGTCACATTGTTCTCCACACTAGATTGGACAAAATATCATCATTATTTTTTAAGAAATGTCTAAAACTGATAATTTTATTCTGAAGGAAACCTTGAAAGATAGATAGATAGAAGGGACACTGCCCTGTTACTTGTTAGTAACAAAACTGTCAATTATTCCACCGTTCACCTTATTATACCAATCCATCAATGTCAAGAAATGTTCCGTCTAAAGATTTATTTTGCTAAAGCATAAACAATTACAGAGTTATTGTCTCACTAGCTTGGGAATCCAGCTTTGGCTGGAAATATAAACTTTCCCTATAAAAGTCAACTCAACATAGAAATTTTTAATCCAAGCTATAAACAGTTCCGCAGCACTACCGAGTTCTCCATTCAAAACTAGAGACAAATCGGTGAAGGGGTTCAAGAGTTATGATCGGACATAAAACAAAGATTATTACTTTATTAATATATATAGAGATGATAGATCTTAATATGCACCAACCTTACGAAGGTCTATTGTATATATTTAAAATAAACTTTACTTCGTTAATTCTTAATCTTATATTGGGTAGTTTAAAGTTTAAATACAAAACATCTTTTTGAAATATTTCACGGTCAAACCTTTTAAATATCCACTGGTCACGTTTTCTCGAGTTTCAAAAATAAAATTTTGAGGTTAAATATTTGTTAAGTTTTCACGAACCACTTTTAGGTCCTATGAAAATAAAAAAAGAGTTTGAATCAATTTGTAATCTACATTAATCACAAATCCAGGGTCTTGGTCTATTTCTAACACTGAATGTTAGAAATGGGCACAAATTAAAAGACTAGGGTTTTAGGATCCCGGCCCATATGAAGAGTAAAAGTCGATAATTTAAACGATAACCAACATTTGTTTCAAAATAGGTAAATGTTCAAAAATATAATCTGAAATCACAGTGAACGAGACAGAAGAAGAAAGTAAAATGTATTGTAAAGTGTATAGTAAAATGTTACAATATTACTGGTACGACTGTGTGGTTCCCCCTTTTTTATTATAGGAAGTAAGTTTTTGCCACGAACTCATATTTTTCAATCCCTATACTTGCAACCTGATGGTGTAAACCTTTGATATTTCAAATAAATATTATTTGATCTATTAGAATTCATAAACTGAAATATCTAAGGGTGCTATAAGACTGGGTTGCAAATGTTTAGGAATTAGAAAATCTAAGTTTGTGGCAAAGACTCATGTTCCTTTAAGAAAAGCAAATTATCCGTTCAACATAATAGAAACTACATAAGATTACGTTGAATACACTTCAGTTGGTTGTGAAATTATATTTAGATTGCATCAGATCATTTATCTCAATTAAAGTGGATATATTTATGTCCATCATATCAATTTAGGCGTTTATAATTGCTCCTTAACATATCCTGGAATCGGATTGTAAACTTATGTAAATATTATATTTATTCATAATTCATGATAAGTAATTAACACGGTACAGAGATCAACATAATAGTACAGTTTAAAGTGTACTCCTGGTTATCTAGTTGACAAATTTTAAAAAATGTGAATGAAGATAAGCTTTGTTTGGGCTCCAAAAAATTTTGAAGATTTGCCAAAGAAAAAGGAGATTTTCAAGTATGTAAGTGAGTGGCATGTCTGATTCATAATGGTATCTTTTAAGGTTTAGTCTGAGCAACAACGGGGAAGATATTCTCGTTTTTCCATCTTTAAGATGGTTCAATTCTGTAAATTAAGATCTTTGTCTTCGTAGCATTAAATCCGGTAATAGAGAACCCAAAGTAAGAATTAAGAACTGCACTTCACTGCAGTACACTCCGGAAGTGCTTTACTCCTCTCAAATCCGTTTCTCTTTCCATAAAAAGATTGCCAACCTAATTTCAGGAGACTTTAAAGTTTAAATTTCGTTTTATCTTATGGTTAAGAGGCGAACCCTGACAAAACTCAGGAAACCTTAGAAGTTTTAATATTCATTACCTCTTCCGGATTTCTAGCGGAGGTTTGTATATCTGCAAATCCGATATCCTGGTTCTTATATTCATCATATTCACAGTTTCCCAGCCGTCTCTCTCTAAATATATTCATTATATCATATTCATCATATTCACAGTTTCCCAGGCGTCTCTCTTTAAATATATTTATTTTATCATATTCATCATATTCACAGTTTCCCAGCCGTCTCTCTCTCTAAATATATTCATTATATCATATTTATCATACTCACAGTTTCCCAGCTGTCTCTCTCTTAATATATTTATTATATCATATTCATCATATTCACAGTTTCCCAGCCGTCTCTCTCTAAATATATTTATTATATCATATTCATCATATTCATAGTTTCCCAGCTGTCTCTCTCTAAATATATTTATTATATCATATTAATCATATACACAGTTTCCCAGCTGTCTCTCTCTAAATATATTCATTATATCATATTCATCATATTCACAGTTTCCCAGCCGTCTCTCTCTATTCTCTAATGAAGCAAGACAAAAAAATTTTATGTATTAATTTTACATATGAACATAAGCATTAACAACAACAACATTACAACAAAACAAAAAAACCAACGATGAACATAACAATATTCAAAAAATAAACAACGTTAACAGCTATTTCCAAACATTGAACAAAAAAAAACTTAACAAAGACAACATAACTAACATAACAGCAAAAACCGCATTAGTTTTTAGACAAACAACAATAACAATAACATCAACACCAATAGCGAAAATAACAATAACAAAAACAACAACAATAATAACATAAACTATAAGAATTGCACCTTCAGGAACTATAGATAATGAGAGTATATTACCTGGCACATTGATTTTCCATGTAAGCCATATCGTCTGGTGTAGCTCTGTATGCTGCAGGTTGGCTCCGACGGGATTCCCTTCATATTTATGGATCAGTTTTATTATCAGTTTTATCAAAGTCATCATCCACAATATTGATGGACTAGATGGTTAAGATAGACTATATGAATTATATAGGTACCAAATTAATGAATTATATAGGTACCAAATTAATGAATTATATATGTACCAAATTAATGAATTATATAGATACCAAATTAATGAATTATATAGATACCAAATTAATGAATTATATAGGTGCCAAATTAATTAATTATATAGGTACCATAGGTACCAAATTAATGAATTATATAGGTGCCAAATTAATGAATTATATAGGTACCAAATTAATGAATTATATAGGTATAATATTAATGAATTATATAGGAACCAAGTTAATGAATTATATAGGTACCAAATTAATGAATTATATAGGAACCAAACTAATGAATTGTTTAGGTACCAAATTAATGAATTATATAAATACCAAATTAATGAATTATATAGGTACCAAATTAATAAATTATTTAGGTACCAAATTAATGAATTATATAGATACCAAATTACTGAATTATATAGATACCAAATTAATGACTTATATAGGTACCAAATTAATGAATTATATAGGAACCAAATTAATGAATTATATAGGTACCAAATTAATGAATTATACAGGTACCAAATTAAAAAGTACGTTAGATTAGTAAAACTACAGAAAGGTATAATGAAAAGTAAAAAGAGTGTCGTGAAACAGAGCAATTGTGCAGTGTTCACAGACCTATTTATTCAAAAAGATAATGTTTAAGCTACTGGCTAAACTATTTTCTTTATAACAATATTAAATACACATTAGACTGCTCAAATGTCTTCTCCCTCTTCCACAATTGTATGAATTCTACTGTATAATAAAACTAGATTTGGAATCCTGGGTTCTAATATTGCATAATAAACCTAGATTTGGAAACCCTGGGTTCTACTGTATAATAAAACTAGATTTGGAACCCTGGGTTCTATTTTATAGTAGCTTGAAAACCCAACTTTGCCTGAAAACTAAGTTTTCTCAATAAAAGTCAACCCACTCAACTTTAATTTCCCCAATCAACATTTGAGACAAATCGGTCCAGGGATCAAAACAAACAAACAGACAAATAAAGATTACTACTTTATATATAATATATATATATATATGTATAAAATATATAATATCTAATGTAGGAAAACTATAATGAGAAGTAGAATGAGAAGTATAAGTAGGACGGATAAGTATATATATCCAACCCATCTCTGAGGTATAAAGTTGCATGCTGGGGGATCTGGAGAAGTTAGGTAAATGATTTCATGATGAAGATGATGTAAACAGATAAAACCAGGTTGAAAACTTGAAAGGAAGGGAAATAGCAAGAAACGTAATTAGATTATTTTTACAAGCGGAAACGGAACTAAGCTCGGCTTCATGTAAAACTTGAAGATTTAGAGAATTATAATTATCTAAAGATATCCAGTCCTCTCTCAGTTCAATAAATGAACTGAGTTTTTGCCACAAACTCAAATTTTCTAATTTCAAACTAATCAAACCTTTGATATTTTTGATTATTTGATCTAACTGAATTCATAGATTGAAATATCATAGGTTTAAACCATCAGGTTGCAAAGATATAGGAATTAGATAATTGAGTTTGTTGCAAAGACTAATTTCCTTTAGGCTAGACGCTAAATAGAAGGCCTTTAAAACTGTGGGAAAAGGTATAGAAAGCATTACTATATCCAAGTAAGGAATTTAATAGTTAAAAGAACATGAAGTACAACAAATTAATTAAATTTCGTTTTCCTATTCCACAACTTTATGGGTCTCACTGTTTATACATCAAAATTGTACTACACAACTAGATAAATAAACCAAAATTGTACTGCACAACTATGTAAATAAACCAAAATTGTACTGCACAACTAGGTAAATAAACCAAAATTGTACTGCACAACTAGGTAAATAAACCAAAATTGTACTGCACAACTAGGTAAATAAACCAAAATTGTACTGCACACTAGGTAAATAAGCCAAAATTGTACTGCACAACAAGGTAAATAAACCAAAATTGTACCGCACACTAGGTAAATAAGCCAAAATTGTACTGCACAACTAGGTAAATAAACCAAAATTGTACTGCACAACAAGGTAAATAAACCAAAATTGTACTGCACAACTAGGTAAATAAACCAAAAAACAGATATGTTTAATGCCCCTGTCTTACATTCATAAAAGGAAAATAGGAGAAACAAAAGATAAGGAATTTGAATAGAAATAAGAACAACCAAGTTATGATATTATTTACTCTTTCACTTTACGTGAACACTCCCTTCAGAACTACTGATTTACCTAGATAATCTACACTCCAGGGTCTTAAACACATATTCAGCACTATGGCACTGGAACTCAGTTTCAAGCAAACACAGCTCCTGGCACTGCTGTCTTGTTCCTACTTGGTTTACAACCCTGATTTAAAACATACAATGTTTTATTAAATATACAATAAAAGAGAAATCTGGAATTAATTCTTCATTCTCGAATAATTTATACAATTTTGGATTTCAGTTTTGTTTGTGAAAAAACAAGGACTAATTTTTTCTTCTGTCGTGCACTCAGTACAAACAAAAGTACCAAAAATATTGATGAAAGCAACTGAGTTTTTTTCACAAACTCAAATTGGCTAACCCCTATATCTTAACAATCTGATTATGTAAACCTTTGATGTTTCAAACTTTGATTATTTGGTGTAACAGAATTCATAGTTAGAAATATCGTAGGTCTACGACATTGGGTAGCAAAGATATAGAGATTAGAAAAGTAGAGTTTGTGACAAAAACTCAGTTCCTTTGGAAAAAAGTTTACCCAAAATTCTATGGATGTAGGATAAGTTCCAAAAAGAATAGCAGTGAAAAGAAATTAAGTATTTACCACAAACTCAATTTTTCTAATCCTTATATCTTTACAATCTGATGGTGTAAACATGTGATATTATAATTTTAGATTATTTGCTCTAACAGAACTCATGCTTTAAAATATCTACGACAATAGGTTGCAAAGATAAGGGGATTAGAAAATCATAGTTTGTGGCAATGATCGCCTTCTAAAATGAAGGATCTTATAAAGGAACTAAACACTAGTAACAATATCTAATTTTTTCAACCTTACAACTTTGCAACCTGATGTCGTAGACCATTGATATTTTAAACAATGATTTTTGTTAAATCAATTAGTTTATAATATGAAAGGTTTAAAGCATAAGTCTGCAAAGATATAGGATGATAGTTAAGTTTCTTTACGTAGATAGTCCCTGAAGTTTAAATGTTGTCCAAGTTTTATCTAACCTATCGTCGTATCCGTCCAACTCATATCCCATAGCTCTCTCGAATATCCAGGCTTTCTCACATGCCGGAGCTTGGAGACAAACCTTCTCAAAGTAGTTCGTTCGCTTCTCTGTAGGTTCAATCAACTCTCTAAATATTTAGAAATATATTTTGAGAAACTTTATTCTCAGTAATTCTAAAATAATCAAGATTGATGATTTAGTACTGACCAATTGAAATTAAAAATATGTAAATTAAAAAACATTTTTTATAAATTGTTTTTAAAAAGTTAAGACAAAAATTCAGTAGAAGCCTGAAAACCCAGCTTTACTTGAAAACTAAGCTTTTTTCTATAAACCCCATCAACTTAGTATTGTTAAACCAAACTCAACTTAGTATTGTTAAACCAAACTCAAAACATTCCCGTGTTTCTACCGAATTCCCCAATCAACATTTTATACAAATCGGCCAAGGGGTTTATGAGTAATGATCGGATTACTAATTAATGCCTATAGATAGATCTAGATCACTTTATTTTTGAAAACTGTATGGGTGTGCCTATTATTATTGACGATTACTATAAATAATCTGCCCATAAAATGATTCAGCTGAAAACTACAAAATTTATTATTTTTTTTTAAGAAATCAAATCATCTGGTGATCTATCTTATATTCATCTAAGCAAGCTTATAGGTTTTAAACATAAACAATTTATACATTAAAGGGAGTGTTCGCAAAAAATGAAAGTGGGTATAGGCTTACCTATTATCATCTGTATTAGTGTCTAGTCTATAGCAAGCTTCTTCTTCGTAATCTATCAAGAAGGCCGGGCAGTCTTCGCTAGCTCGACATCTAGGATAGGATAGAATAGAATAGAATAGAATAGAAAATAATAGAACAGGATAGAATAGATTAGGATAGCTATAGAATAGAATATAATAGAATAGAATGAAATACAATATTTAAATATTGGTTGCGTAAACAAACTGTACTAGAAGTGTCTGTAATTCATAACAATAAGGCAAAAACCCTATAAATAATGTTCTCTTTATTCATCAAGCATGACCGACTGATTGATTGATTGATTGATTGATTGAATAATGTTTTTTTCTTGTTCGATCTCCAGGATGGCAATCAAATATAAATACTACATGCTGATCTAATTAATCTAGAATAATCTGTTTAGAAATATGATAAAGTACATGTATAGCTCATGTTACCTCCTGGGTGTAGGGTAACCACGGGTTTCCTAAAAAATCAGCCAATTGGAGTAAGAATGATAAAGTGAGGTTTACTTGAAATTACGCCGATTTTCCCTTTTAAGTGCTGAACAAATGAGGGATGTAACATTACAAGATTAATCTATTTCAGGGCGGTTTAGAAAATGTTGTACAGTACGGATCAGGAAAATTTTAGAAGGACGGGATGGAAAATGACTTAAAGGATGGGTCGGAAAATGACTTTATGAACGGATCGGGAAAAATATTAGAAGGACCGGTCGGGAAAATAATTCCAAGGACGGGTTGGGAAAATCATTAGGAGGACGGGACGAGAATCATTAAAAGGACTGGGGACAAAGAAGGACGAAATTAGAAAAATCATCTTAAAGACGATTTGGGAGAATGGTAAATAGGATATGTTGGGCAAATGGGTAATAGGACAGGTTGGGAAAATGGTTAATAGGACAGGTTGGGAAAATGGTTAATAGGAGGACAGGTTGGGAAAATGGTTAATAGGACAGGTTGGGAAAATGATTAATATGACAGGTTGGGAAAATGGTTAATAGGGCAGGTTGGGAAAATGGTTAATAGGGCAGGTTGAGAAAATGATAAGAATAACGCGGGTTGGGAAAATGGTTAATAGGACAGGTTGGGAAAATGGTTAATAGGACAGGTTGGGAAAATGGTTATTAGGGCAGGTTGGGAAAATGGTTAATAGGACAGGTTGGGAAAATGGTTAATAGGGCAGGTTGGGAAAATTATAAGAATAACGCGGGTTGGGAAAATGATGTAAAAGGCGGGTTAAGAAAATTATAAGAAGAGTGGGTCAAGAAAGAGCATGAAAATGTCTTAAATGATATTTGGCCAGGAATCGTGATCTAAGTTAAGTAATATTGTAAATCTAGACAACCCTTGAAGCGGTCTAACATCCTACATCAGGGATATTCAAACTCTGTTTAATAATAAACCAATGGACATATTCTAAAAACAACGAATTATCTTAAATCTGAAGTTTTAAAAAGAAAAAATGTCATTGTGAAAGGCAAGGTAAAAACTACCGTAATTAACCCGTGAAGTAGATTCAGAAGTTTAGCAATATCATTGAGTTCCCACCCTCAGGGCATCGGGGGGGGGGGGGGCCTTGTACATTAAAAACCCGCAAATTGCAAAATTAGATTTTTTATTTCTTCATAACTGGCCAACCATCCAACCATACAGGGTGTCATAAACAAAGTTCATCTTTGATTATGATTGAACGAAACAACACATGTCACATCGTTAACTGGTTTTTGAAGAAACAGATTACTCGTCTCAATATTTAATCTTTGAGAATTGATCAGTTGATCCTAGACCATGGTCTGTGTAAGACCTCTCTCCCGAGCTTTCCTTGTTATTAGAGCCTAGACGCTGAGAAAACTGTATCGTATCATGAAGCATTCTAGCAGTGCATTATACATCAATCCGGCGCTTTACTTATTCACCAACTGTAGCCCTCATGGAAAATCTCTGGTCACACATGGAGAAAGGGACAACTCCCCAGTTGTATTTGTGGTGCAGATCTAATGGGTAATAATGGGATATTTTATCCTAATTCCGGATAATCATCGGAAAGATGTATAAAATCAGAGGAAAAACAGAGATTGTCTGCGAGAAGATCTCTCGATACCCCTCAAAAACTTCCTAAACCTTCAACCTTCTCCTTCTTCACGAGCAGATATAGTGGAACTCTGAGAGGGATCAGCAGTTTGACATGGGAGTACTTCACGTGGATTTAACGGTTCTGTCAAATTCCAGAAAGCTGTGACTTTAGATCACAATTTGACCTATTAAACATAATTTGTAAGCCTTTTTCCTCTTATACTTTTATGTCGGCATATGCATTTTGAATGAAACTGTATAGAATAAACAAATCCGTAAAGTAAATGATTATTGAATTATAGACCAAAACACGTTTGATTTCAAATAGAAGAAACTGAACACTGCTCACGGTGGTTAGTACGGGGTGACTTGTCCATGGGGTGCTTCTAGATCACCTTGAACCTAGTTAAATGCTGTATATGGCTATGGAGATCTCTTGAACTTTTTTTCAAAAGGATACATGAATAATGCAGCAGATTCAGAATTTAAAAAAAAAATCTAAAAATTTATATCCAGAGTATAAAACTGTAGAAAAATTGACAAAGTCAGCTTCATGATGATTTTGTATCTTGTGGAGGAGCGTGCTACTCAAATTCAGGCTGTACAGTGTACGGTGTACGCAACAAGAATAAAGAAATACAAATTGCTTTATCAAGTATGTTCAGAATTGCAAATTACCCTTTCATGGGCGGGGGGGGGGGGTTATGCAGATAATACAACACAGTTAAATAAAGTGAACAAGGGTAGACAGAAAAGAAGAAGATTGGAAAAAATAATTATCTGCATTATAAACATGTATCAATTACTAGTCGCTTAAACATTGTAATTTGTAAAAAATTTGAAAATAAAAATACACAATTTGTTAAAAATCTTTGCAAGTTGATTCCGTTGAGTCTGACCTATGATATTTTGTCTTTGAAACTATAATGAGCTTTTCATTGATCAAATTGTCAAAATTTAAGAATATCACAGGTCATACCAATATGTTGCAAAGATATACAGATAATAAATGCCTACAGAAACATTTACTTGGTTAGAAACTTTTTCCTCATAAACCAAAAAAGTATAACCTTTCAACTAACTTCTTTTAATTTATTATTCAGTAATTTAAGAATCAAAAAGTTTAAATTCATTACAAATAGACAAAGAACAAACATATTACATATATGCACGGACAAACCTAATAAATACTTTTAAGTATGTATTGCATCAACCCAACATGAACCAATTTCTTATATTTAACAACAAAAACATTTAACCTTGTATTTGATACTAATTTCTCTTCAAGGAGCCGGGGCGGGAAGGAAAAATATGGTATGGAAAGGGAAGGGGGAAGAATTAAGATGGAAGGTGAGGGGGAGGGTGGAGGAGGGAGGGTATGGAAAGGGAAGGGGGAAGAATTAAGATGGAAGGTGAGGGGAAGGGTGGAGGAAGGAGGGGATGGAAAGGGAAGGGGGAAGAATTAAGAAGGAGGGTGAGGGGGAGGGGTGAAGGAACACAACTTTACAAGAGACCGGAAACACTCATGCAGTCTGCAACAATGATGTTCTCCAGGGGGCTATAGAAGTAGGTGGAGGGGGGGCTTTTATGATAAAAAGGGGGCTCTACGCAATTATAGCTAACCTTGAAACAATTTAAACTCGAGAGGTTTAAAATAAAAGAAAATTAATTTACAAGAAAGTACAATTTTCTTACTCCATACTATATTCAGTATTTACCCAACAACTCTCTTTACAAAATATATGTATATTGTAATGTATCGTCATCCAATATTTCTCTTGTATTTTTTTTGTTAAAAATTTATACAATTGCGGTTTTGACATTTTGATGTTTTTAACTCTCTTATTCTCTAGGGTGAGGAATGAATTTACAGATTTTCAGCACATGATCATACATTTCAATGACGACCTGGAATTGTTCACTGAAATGTTATATACGTAGTTAAGGACAAGGATTTAATGCAAGGAAAGTTATTTCAGAGGTGTACGAATCTTTTGTACTGCAGTGTACTGTCACTGGGCGGTAATGTAAACATAAGACGGATGTCGAAGCCTGACATGGGATCCATCTTTCACATAAATAATCAATGAAATATTCTGGTCATATAAAACTATTTTGTGAATTATCAAAATTATCAAAATTCAATGCTTTTAACCTCCTCGGATACTAAACGAACACTGAGGCATCTATTCTTGTTTACAAATTCCGCCCAGAGAGAACTGGTTTCAATATGTACGCAAAGTATACGCAACTGCAATTAACTTCCCTTGCATTACATTCTTGGTTAAGGAGTTGTATATGCTCTTAGGAAAATGGCTTAAAAAATAAAGTATGTTTACAGCTGCGGAATATTATACAAGAGATAAGAATGAATAAAATCTGTAAAGTCTCTCCATGTACTCCTATATATCTAGAAGTAAGTACAGGTATACCCACAAAGGATAAGACTAACACTAAGAAAAATGTACTGTTTATACTGTTTCCTCATTTTCACGATATGCTGCAATTGTAAGACTGTTTCTTTCTTTGTCAAATTATTTAAAACCCATTAAAATATTGTATTCAAGATAACTTATTTTAACCTTGAGATCGTCATATTAAATGAGTTTTAGGTCTTTACAGTCTCATGCTTTGTGGGTAACCCTGTATATAAAGAAACTGGAGTAGCTAGCTTGAAAGATTAGACCCAGGAAATTAGCCAGGAATGACGATACATAAAAACTTGTCTCTGATCCTTTTATGCGCATCTTGCATTACATAAATACATTCTTACAGCTTGTACATTGTTTTATGCGTATCTCACATTACATAAATACATTCTTACAGTTTATACATTGTTTTATGCGTATCTCACATTACATAAATAAATTCTTACAGTTTGTACATTGTTTTATGCGTATCTCACATTACATAAATACATTATTACAGTTTATACATTGTTTTATGCGTATCTCACATTACATAAATACATTCTTACAGTTTATACATTATTTTTTGCGTATCTTACATTACATAAATACATTCTTACAGTTTAAACATTGTTTTACGCGTATCTTACATTACATAATACATTCTTACAGTTTATACATTGTTTTTTTGCGTATCTTACATTACATAAAGACATTCTTACAGTTTGTACATTGTTTTATGCGTGTCTTACATCACATAAATACATTCTTACAGTTTATACATGTTTTTATGCTTATCTTACATCACATAAATACATTCTTACAGTTTGTAGATTGTTTTATGCTTATCTTACATCACATAAATACATTCTTACAGTTTGTAGATTGTTTTATGCTTATCTTACATCACATAAATACATTCTTACAGTTTATATTCTGCGCTCTTATAGGTGTTAAAAAACACAGGAGCTATCAAGGGTTTTAACTTTATCTTTTTAAAATTTATTTAAATTTTTTTTATCGTTTCCTAAATTCTCCCACGATGGTGATTATTTTTTAAACTGTGCATTTTTAAAATGCCCAAAATCCAAATTATCACTAATGCAATTTAAAAAGTTACCCAAGTAAAGTATAGGGTTTTGACAATGATCAAAAAAATGAAATGACAGTCTAAAGTAACATTCTTTTAAGATAAAAAATAAGCAATGAGGGTTTTTCTGAACCGTCATTCAAATTTCCGACCACCAGGAGAAATGCAATGAAAACTTGTTTATTAAAGGAATTGAAAGAAAAAATAAAGGAAGTTTATTCAACAATGATTCCAAGTAAAATATCTATTGTATTTAGATTTACGATTCCAATTAATCAATCAGTCCCAGTGTTGAAGTGTAAATTTGAACCGGAAATAGTATACACGTGTCAAATTTGAACCGGATATAGTAAACTCATGTCAGTGTTGCTAAACAGCAATACGACTGGTTGACGTTGAAGTAAATAACTGTAGATTAGTATCAAGTTTATTACGTTTATTCATTATATTTGATATTTTCTACTCTTTTTAAAGTCCAAAAAGTAAAAAAGGAACTTAGTGGGTTGGGACGAACTAAACTATGGGTTGGAACATACTGTAACACTTTGGTTTAGGTTTGGGACACACGGTAGTAATGGGATGGCACATACTGAAGTAAGGATTGGGACACCATGTAGTATGGACTGGAACACAATGTAGTATAAGTTGGAAGATATTGTGGTGTGGATTGTGACACACAGTAGTACGGGTTGAGTCTTATTGTAGTATTGGTTGTGACACACTGTATAATTAACGAAGTAATGGTTAGGAAAACCTGAAGTATTGGTTATTATGGATTGCAATAAAATTAATTTAGAAAAAGGAACACACTGTATGTAGTGTGGGACACGCTTTATATTTTATGGATTATGGCATTGATTGTTAATGTATTGGCATGCAGTGCATTGGGACATCCTTGTACCAGTGTTAAGTGTACGTACGTAGTATTTAATAAAAGGTGAGATATCCTGCTTAACAAGTCTGATTTGGGAACTGAAATATATCGTAATAATATTTATAAATATTTGTAAACATATTTGTAAAGATATTTGTAAACATATTTGTAAACACATTTGTGAACATATCTGTAACATATTTCTAAACATATTTCTAAACATATTTCTAAACATATTTCTAAACATATTTCTAAACATATTTCTAAATCTATTTGTAAACATATTTGTAAACATATTTGTAAACATGTTTGTAAACATATGTGTAAACATATTTGTGAACATATTTGTAAACATATTTGTTAACATATTTGTAAAAGTATTTCTAAACCTATTTGTAAACATATTTGTAAACATATTTGTAAACATATTTGTAAACATATTTGTAAACATATTTGTAAACATATTTGTAAACATATTTGTAAACATATTTGTAAACATATTTGTAAACATATTTGTAAACATATTTGTAAACATATTTGTAAACATATTTGTAAACATATTTGTAAACATATTTGTAAACATATTTGTAAACATATTTGTAAACATATTTGTAAACATATTTGTAAACATATTTGTAAACATATTTGTAAACATATTTGTAAACATATTTGTNTGTAATATGTAATATGTAATATGTAATGTGTAATATATAATATGTAATATGTAATATATAATATGTAATATGTAATATGTAATGTGTAATATGTAATATGTAATATGCAATGTGTAATATGTAATATGTAATATGTAATATGTAATATATAATATGTATATGTAATATGTAATGTGTAATATATAATATGTAATTTGTAATATATAATATGTAATGTGTAATATGTAATATGTAATATGTAATATGTAATATGTAATATGTAATATGTAATATGTAATTTGTAATATGTAATATATAATATGTAATATATAATATGTATACACTAAAATATATTATGTTATATCATTCAATCGAAATATAGGAAACGTATTGAACCGTGTAAACTTGAATGAAAGAAGAATTTGATGAGAATTTAAAAACTTGATTGAAAAATATCTGTCGGAAAGGAGTTTAAGCAAAGAGACGTACAGGGAAGTGCATGAGTAAAGTAAGGTTTCCAGTCCGACAGAATATATTTTTTCTAATTTTGTAAATAAATTATGAAAGCTGGATATAGAATTTGTATAAAAAGTTCCGAATTCAGAAACCAAAAAAATAGTGGAATTCTTGTCATCTTCTTATTTATTTCAATTATAAAATGTTGCTTAGAATTTTGTAACTCTATTGAACTCTATTGTCCTCTATTGACCTCTAATGACCTCTAAAAACTATTTTACCAAGAAAAGACGATTTTACAAAAAAATACGATTTTACAAAAAAATGATTTTACAAAAAAGACGATTTTACAAAGAAAAGACGATTTTACAAAGAAAAGACGATTTTACAAAGCAAAGACGATTTTACAAAGAAAAGACTAAAAAAATAAAAAGAAAAAAAGATATAATCAAACATAAATGATGTCAAAAATCGACAGGAATTAAAAAGATGCTTAAAAATGCCCATTTTTTGTAGAACCTTTATCTTTTTCACAACCTATAAAGCCCATTTTATTTTTTTAACCTTACAAATAAATCTATCATTTTTATACCTAAAAATTGTTAGTCCGTCGTCGAAAAATACTAACAATCCACCACCAGTTTATATTAAATATAATGTAAACGAAAAAAATGTAACTTTCAGCTTTTTATTTCCTTTCCTTTTCCTTTTATTTATATTTTTTAGAATTTTTTTTAGAATTGGCGGGAAATATTCCAACAACCTCTATTTTTGGAGGTTTTAAATATTTTCTACTGAAACACTCAATTTTATATGTTTTGTTATATTTCATAAATTAATAATTACTTACTACTTACTATTACCTATTATTACACTCTGCAGTGACTGTATTTCCTACAGCAGAGTAAAGAGGAGTTCTACTAGCAGAGGGTAGTTCTACACCAGTCACCTTTATTAATTTATTCATTTATTCATTATTCATTTATTCATTTATTCATTTATTCATTTACTCATTTATTCATTTATTCATTTATTCATTTATTCATTTATTCATTTATTCATTTATTCATTTATTCATTTATTCATTTATTCATTTATTCATTTATTCATTTATTCATTTATTTATTTTTTTCAATTACTAATAATTTTCGTATGTTTACCTTATCAAAGCTTTCTGTGCCTGCACAGTAGTATTGACCTACAAAATATATTTTACAAAACTAATTTCTTACACAAATTTTTTTAACAAAAATGCGGTTTTTAAAGAACAATTTGTTATTTTTTTTTGTCTAGAAACAAGTGACAACATCAAATTTTACGAAAAATGCTTCTTCCCTAGAGAGGCTTAATGTAGGACTTAGTTCCTATTATTTTTTTTTTAATTAGTCCAAACGTTGTATTTATTTATACAGCTGAGATTGGAAAATTTAAATGAGTTTAAGTTTAACTCTGATTGGTCCAAACACTTGGTTTTAGATCTGATAATCTCTATGGAACATACAACAATATTAAACTATTTCAAGCTGCCTTCCATTCAATGAAGAGCATGTCCGATTCACACACCCTTGAAAAATTTTCTGATCAAGAATATAGAAGATGTTTAATTCTGACAATATCCGCCATTGTTTTTCTAAAGCAGAAACGCAAAAGTCTCTATAATATGGATAAACCACAGTTGAAAATAATCAATTTTGAAAGAAACGATGATGAAAATGTTTATATATTCTTGATGAGACACAGTTTTTAAGGGTACCATGTTTAATCGAGCATGCCCCTTTGTAAATGTGAAGTGACTTGAAATACAAGAGTAGTCCATACCATCAAGTCTTACCTTGTGCTGGGGACATGAACACTAGAAGTGAAACAACCAAACCTCCGAACCCTCCTCCGACCCCTGCTCCTCCTCCTTTCAGAAATACCATTTTATCTCACTAAATATAATTTGAAGAAACCCTGTTCGCTGTACAGGTTAGTTTAGGATTGAGGAAACCCTGTTTACTCAGATGAGTCTGATTAGATCATCTGAAATAAAATCAGAAATTTATTTTATCTTTTAATTTATCATAAAATAATTTTACAAAATTTAATTAAAACATTACGCACAATGGTCAATTTGAATGTCATCAAGTACAATATGGAGAAAATATCAAGATTTAGATTTCAGTAAAACTTAACGATTGTTGATTTAAAGTCTTTCTTTTGTAATTTTCACTAAAAACTTCAACTTCAGAAAGATATATACTGGTTTGTTTTACGTATTTTTCTGGATCGATGGGGGACCGGAGGGAGGGGGGTTGGGAGATTATTAAAAACTCTACAGCGTGAAAGTGTAAGAATATGAGTAAGGAATTTTCTAGTTTTTTATGTCATTTATCTGCATTTTTACAGAGAACATACTATTTTACATACTATCTATACGTCTGCTGTTCTATCTAAAACTTGGCTTAAATTTACATTTAATTTTAATTATAAACTGTGTGTCCGTTTTTACTTAACAAACCCCTCTAAAATAATTTGATTATTTATAAAATGTGACTTTGCACATTTCCATTAAAGTTAGATAAATAGATAAATATATAGAGCTGAATGGATAGATATATAGATAGATAGATAGATAGATAGATAGATAGATAGATATATAGATAGATAAATAAAGAGATACATAAATGATATGATGCAAATTAAATGGAATTTTTTAAGATACTCAACCGTGAAAAATCTTTTACTAGATGAATCCAAAATTGTTTTTACAGGCTGTTCCGAATTAATAAGTATAGCTGTAGGAATTAAGTGACGGCATCGAGATAGTCTTTTTTTATGAATTGGCATTCATTTATAAAAAGCTGTGTTTTGATATGCAACATTTTTTTTAAACCGCTAATAAAAAAATTTACATATTTAAACCCTAGAGGAATTCAATGATACTTTAACTATATTTTGTTAGTTTACAGAAAATAATTTAGTCTTTGTCACAAACTCCTATATCATTGCAACCTTTGATATTTCAAACTTAAATTATTTGATCTACAAGAATTCTTAGTTTAAAGTATCTGCGGTCTACAACATTAAGTTGCAAAGATATAGGGATTAGAATATCAGAGTTTGTGGCAAAATCTCAATTCCTTTTCTCAGTTTACTATAGAACAACATTATACCATCGGAAAACAAACCAAGAAATCTAAACTCTAGCAGTCGAAACATTCTACGGAATACAATCTAATAGCAGACATTACCATGATCATGATCATGATCTTTAAATCGTCATTCAATTCCCATGTTTATTTGTACACCCTATACTTCAACGAAACAAAGAATTGCCAGAAATATATTTTTGCGATTCAAAATGCATTCATCTCTATTTTCTTGTTTCGTACAAATATGAGAAATATTGTTTATTCACTTTGTCATCTTATATCATCGTATTCTTCTAACAACTGAAGAACAAGAGAGAGAGAATAATACAATAGGTTTCCTGCACGACACTATTTAATAAAATATTTTAAACCAAACAAATTTTAATCTTAAATTCTTATTCTTATTCAAATTGAAAGATATTTTATTCTGAATAAATGCAAAGTAAAAAAACTATTTTTTTTTTAATTCCTCAAATTTTGTTCTAATCAGAAATGCATGGCGGGATAAATAATCAATAAGTATTTATTAAAAAATACTAATTAAAATGTGTATCCATTATTAAGCAATTATTGCAGCATAAAACTAATTAAAATCATGAAAAAGTAAATGTACGCTATGAAAGTACCCTCACCCCCCCCCCCCCCCCCCCCCCCCCCCCCC